ATTGTACTCTATACTTGACTCAGTTGACTCTATCGCGAAGTCGTAGTCGAAGTCGTCTTTCGTATTAATTGAAGTTCAGACAATTTTCAATTACAAACTCAACAAACTAGCGAAGAACTAGAAGCTAAAAGGAAAATAATACGGACGATTACTCATCTTACTAGATAAATTGAGCATTCAAAATATTAAATCGAGCGAAATATTTGGAATCCGTTTGAGAATGTCAACAAGCTTAAAGAGGGCACAGGAAGACCAATCTTCGAAAAGTGCAACAAGTATCCACGAGTTCGCCTAAGGGCCTTTGATTACAAAAGACACTAAAATAAATCAAGAATATAGATAATCAGAATCAAATACAAAAAGTCCTTTCCAGAAGTTGATTTATGTCACATATTGCCTCGAACATCTTCAACTCCCTTTTTGCTGCTCAGATTGGCTAAAAGTATTCCAAATTGGAAAGAAATCCAAAAAAAACTGATAGCGAGACAGCATGTTTATTGCTCATTTGCCAAATCAATGAACAAAATACCGAAATTTTCGCCTAAAATCCAACCAATCCTCAAATCCATTATCCAAATAAATGTTCTTTCCTTTGCTATATTTAAGACAGTCTAAACTGACATTTTGAAGGAACAAATCTAGTTTTAACTAGATTAAAATACTCCAAAATCAAAATGAAAAAATGGAGTACGACGTAGCTCGAACGTTTAGTCAATCTGAACATTTTGAAGCGTGAATTTTTTGAAAACTGAGTCGAAAGAATGCATCAGTGGCTTTACTTGGACTCCAGTAACCATCGTTATATTTTACCTTTAAATGTACAGAAAGGTAGACCAGTTTATAGTAGTCTTTTTATCTCGTGGTACCGGCGAGCAGAGTCCTCTACTATACGGGCGAGAGAAGGAAAGGAGAGTGGGCATGCGTAAACTGAATTTCCGCTGAGGAAGCATCGCAGGCTATATGTAAGTCTTATCATATTATACGAGGTTTTTTTTTTTGTTTTTTATCAGCTGTCCATATCATGTTCTTTCTCATGATATGTGCGGAAAAAGGGACCGGTTCCCTATATCATGAGCCTTCATTATTTACTGTCAGCTGTTATACGTCTCGGTCGTTACTTCGTGTATGACCACACGAATTGGCACTATATTGGGGTTGTGTGTTGTGGTAGTGTTGCATCGTTCGGTGTCACCTTTAGTTATCCGTGTAGGTGCAGCACATGTAGTTGGTGTAATACCCGTAGTACCCGTGGTAGGTGTAGTACCTGTAGTACCAGTAATACCTGTAGTATCTGTAGTAGGTGTAGTAGATGTAGTACCTGTAGTATCCGTAGTACCTGTAGTACCTGTAGTAACTGTAGTAGGTGTAGTACCTGTAGTATCCGTAGTACCTGTAGTACATGTAGTATCCGTAGTGCCTGTAGTATCCGTAGTACCTGTAGTAGGTGTAGTATCTGTAGTAGGTGTAGTATCCGTAGTACCTGTAGTACCTGTAGTAGGTGTAGTATCCGTAGTACCTGTAGTACCTGTAGTAGGTGTAGTATCCGTAGTACCTGTAGTATCTGTAGTAGGTGTAGTATCCGTAGTACCTGTCGTATCTGTAGTACCTGTAGTAGGTGTACATAGTACCTTTCACGGCAGCCATGTTGATGGGTAGAATTAATAAAATTGTTCATTCTATTGTTGAATTCATTTTAATTTCGCTTTAGGAATGAAATTTGATTTTCCTTAC